TGAATAATGTATGTAATACTAAAAGGAATAAAAAAAAATACACGAAAAGTGCTAAAAAAATAAAAGTCAAACATACATTTTTTTGGTCGCCCATTTATTGTAGCCGAAAGGTAAAACGATTTACGCTTTTGCATATAACCAACCTTTTTTGGCCGACCGGTACCTTAAAGGTTCATGTGTCGCCCATTGGTTTTGTATATATCTCGCCCAGATATAATTTACATTTGTCACCTAACAGCATTATATAAAAGGTAATTTCATCATTATGGTTACAAGTGAGACAGTAATAAACTGAAGACAAAGTCGGACGGTCCAAATATCGTAGTTCTGCTGTCGGCATCAATAAAGTTGTGTCTTATGTGGTCACTTCACGTAATAACGTGACTGTATTAGTGTACTTTTTAAATTGGACTGGAATAAATGACCCTAATCTGCAATAGGGGAGTGTTTTTAATTTGGACTTATAAAGTTGTAATCATAAAGATAAACGTGGTTATTTACATATAGATCGATGTAGTATATATTTTTGTAGGCGAGATTTATTTTATTTATAATTTTTAAAACTGTGTAACATTCAATATGTACACAGATTTCAGAAGATTATACTTATTTTTATTATAAGCAAGTCTGCAAATCTGTGGATTTTCCCTTTAAAATCCTTTGTAATTCACTAGAGAAATTTTCAATGGATTACGGGTGGTCTAAGGCGCTCACCATTACTAGATCACTGATACTAACCTCCGTCCGCATGAGTTCAAGTCTCGACTCAACCTACGGTGGCAAGCAAGAAAGCTTGTCAGTAGCTTCCTCTAGATCTGTAGTTCTTTTCATGGTTTTAATTTTTCCACCACAAATACTGGCCGCCATGTAGAGCTAAACAAAATGGTGTATCACACATGCACAAACACATACCAACCAACCCAAGTTAAAAATTTTTTGTCCGAATGTGGTCGACAGACATTGATAACATATTAGTATAGATAGTTGATGATCCTCTTTCTCAAGAGACCCCTACCTTCCAAAATGTTGTACGTTAACATTTTTGTCAGCAGCCATTTTGTTGCTCAAAATGACGACTTTCACAAAAGGTTTTTCTAACATATTTCTGACAAAAATATGTTTTGTCGGAGTAGGGGTGTCTCAGAGATGGGATCAGCTCAACTATCTCTACTACTGTGACAGTCTCATATTTATTAGCCAAAATAGTATTGTCATTTTTAGACAAAATGTCATATTAAACAAGTGAAATATTATATATATATATATATATATATATATATATATATATATATATATATATATATATATATATATATATATATATATAATGACATTCTCAACCCGACATGTTGGATTTAATCTAAGAAAAAGATTTTGTAAGAGATTTAATTCCAATAAGCGATTGTATCATAAAGTAGGTTACCATATATCACCAAAATATGGATCGGTATGTTTATTCGCGACTGAAAATGATGGCAGATGTGATGATATTTATTGATAATATGGTCAATATTTTATTTGATGATGATATTACTGAAGCTGTACAAAATTAAACATCTAATGTTTGTTATAATCTTTTTCACATTTGCTGACTCTCATTGACAAAATATATGTTAACATACTGCCACTGATACGGAACTCTCGTATTAAATCGTCCATATCATATTTTATACCATGCAGATAAAATTGGTATCTGATCAGGTAATTTTTCATAGGTAATACTTGCTGTTTTGCAAGCATTTTTTCGTCGTATGTCAGGGCTCAATTTTTTTACACGCGGTTGCAAGAGAAGCACCAACACCATATATATTTAACTAAAACGGATGTAATGATGCTCTACTTAAAATTATACCAGAGCCGGTCATCAACAACGGTAAATATGATATCAATCAGAGTACATGTATTTTGGTATAGTATTTGTAACATGTTTTCACACACAAAAGTTCAACATTGTTTTTTTTTTAAAAATGATATCTGTAATATTGCATTAGAGCGTCCACATCTTGTTTGAGAATGTTTTCTGAGATTTATTTTTTCATTATATAATATTTGTTTGCATATTTTATACCGTTATTTAAGTAATTAATTCAGGTGTTTCAACTATAAATTCAATACACAACCAATAGGACGCTGCAGTTAAATTTTCATCAATTGCTACCAGCATAAACGTTTCTTCAGCATCTTAGTTTAACACTATGGACACAGTTCCAGAAAAATCATCGGTTAAATGACGCCATGGAAATGTGGTAAATATACTCAATTTTTCACTGCTAAACACGGACAGTTTATATAAACCAGTGTCCACCGCGGTGTATTTGAGTGTTATTTTGCTGTGACCATGTTGCTGATTTTGATACTTCTGAGAATACGATATTGTCAGCTCGTCCGTGAGGAATTTTAACAAAATTAGTTTGAACAATATTAGGAATGCCACTGACAATATCGTTGAGTTTTGCGTTAATTTCAACGAGTTTAATATCAACAGTTGGTGGAGTTAAAAAAATAATAGATCTGTTTAAATTTCTATCAAAGTTTAGAAACGTTTGAATGTGATTATTATAATCAGTTCTAAACGCGGTGATCCCATCATTGATTGTTATTAACGAAGTTGGTACTGGAATTTCCTTATCATCGAAGTATTTTTTAGTTGCAGCGTCAAAATCTTGTTTCTTGTGTTCTGAGAGTAATAATACTGTTATTGCTCATATCGAGAAATACGTAATTAGATTCTTGATTATCAACGTCCGCCTGAAATAGAAAAAGAAAATCATGGGTTCTGGTCCCTGAGTGGCCTAAGGTGATCGCCTTTAAAATCACCGAACATTCTCACCTTGCTCGCTCCCCGTGGCTCATGTCTCGGGCTCGGCGAAATTATGCATTTGAGGAAGATATTGCCAGCAACTTCACAGTATTTGGCGAATCTTCCCATAGGTTTCCAAAGTTCCTCCAAGTTGAATACTGTAAGCCATATATAATCTACCAATTGATGAAAAATGGAGTTAATCCAACAACAACAACAAACAATAACAACAACCACAAGGGGAAAATTGCAGATCCTAACATATATAAACGCGAATACTACATACAGGATAGAAAGAAAACCAAAAGTGCCACTTGAACTAAATAAATAATGAAGGTGTTACGTCAATGCTACTGGCTAACGTGAGATAATACAGGTAACACCGGAATTTCTAAGAGTATCCTAACAACAGAGGCGCCGGATCTGATCAAGTGTTGGGAGGAGGGGTCAAACATTTCAAAAGGACTCTGACCTTCCTCAAAAAGGCACCAGTGAAAAAGTCTACGTGTAGATTTACAAAGTGTGCATAATACCCAATAAACGTGAGCGAAAGGAAAGATGGTAAATTGAAAAGTGACTTTACATTCTGTGTGCATAAGTTCTCATTTTTCTCGTATCGTAAGGGGGTAAGTCCGGACTCCACCCCATCTGGCCCTACAGTGTCAAACACTACAAAAGAAAAATATTATGGGGGACATATAACTAACACCTGCTACTTTTCAAGATTAAAATGATATGCGATTCTGATGTCACCTGTTCATTAAAATGTACAATTTTGCTGTATGCAAATCATTCGGAACAATCCTGCGTACACTTTACACATATACCGGTACTTGGTAATAACCATATCTAGAAAGGTATTCAAAATGACCACAAGACAGATGGTTGTGCTATTCCACGCCGATTTGCAAGTCACTAAACATAGGATTTTGCTCCGGAAATAAAATGTACATGTCAACAAAAGAATCCTTCAACCGACGGTAGCTCCACAGCCACAAGAAATAACGTAAGTGTATAATAAATAGGTGATATGAGCCCCTCTCCAGAAAATTAACATCACGGGTGAGGTGCTGATTTAAAGGCCTAATTAGAAAGACCTGCCCATTAGAGGCCATGTGTCGCAATTATGTGTCCTTCTACCATCCTGCATGTCCGAAATGTTCTACTCTTATACTTTCTACATTTTTCTCTTCCTTTTATGCGACTTAGTTGTTTATAACATAATAAAATTGAGAGAAACAATAAGATTTAAAAAAGTGATCTACCAAAAAATCAATCCCCAACATAAAAACTTAGTAGAATTCATTAAACACGCACACCTAAATGGACCAAAAAAGGATCCGAGGTAAAGTTCAATGATTTTGTCAAGGAAAGAAACCACTCAAAGAGTATATTGCCTTAGGAGGGGAATACTAGCTTTGTATTAAAATAGTTTAGGCATAGACGAGGAATGGAAGAAACCCATGAAAGAGAAATCCAACCAGGTACTCATACCTGAATAATAAAAGATGAATCAGAATTCAAAAGAGATAAATATACAAACATTCTCTTCAAAATTCCTTTTCGTTTTTTGCGATAAACATAAATGTGTAAAACAGCTTTACAACTTTCAGACAAAGAGGAGGGGTTCACTTCAAAGACGTACTGGTCGTAATGGGTATTAGAAAGGACCTTGTGTTTCTTAGGTATTGTTAAAAATTCTTAATTCCTTTTATTTTGGTGTATGTATGATTGAGTGGTGTAGTATCGGCTATAGAAGAACATTCCACAGAACTGTTGAAACAATTAGGAAACTATTATGAAACTTTGTCATTCATTTCTTCAATTTCAGTGAAATCCAAAATTACAATCTTGAAACCATTTGCTTACTCTTATTGCAACACCACATTTCAGCATGAAAATATGCATACATTTTCATAATGATATGTCTATCTATCTAAAAAGTCTAGATTCAATATATACTTAAATATTTTTAAGCAATTTTTTCTTTTCAAAATGTGTCGTACATTGTACATATTTTCAATGTATGTGTGTGGCAGGACTGGATGGATGCAATCTGGAAGGGATTATGAAAATGATGAATGGATGATAAAATATACTTAACTTACATGCAAGTCGACATAAATTATATCCCAGACCTTTTGCATCAACCAGGCAATTTGTAATTTGTTAACCTCTTCAATGAAAAAAAGAACCCGCGGTAGCTCAGTTGGTAGAAAGTTGGATTCATAATCCAAGGGTTATGGGTTCAATGACCTCCAAATCAAGTCAACTGTCTCAGAGTGTCCTGGAAAAGGCGCTTGGTACCATTTTCTCAGTTTAGATGGCAAACATGAAGCAAAACATTGAGGAATGGAGAGGGTTGTCACGGTTGTGATGGCACTGATTATTATAAATGGCTGTAGTTATGTTGCAGCTAATTATGTGATTAATTAATTAATATTCGACCTGACCAGAAGACAACAATGGTAAAAGTAGAGACAATTAAATTTAATCCTATCTAAATATATCAAGATCCCATAAGATCAATAATTAAACATTGGATAAAAGTGAAGAAAAATCCCATGATATTTTAAAATAATTATACAAATTGATTAAGCAACAATGTGGAGGATGTAAATGAACTCACTGTGAGGGGAGTGGTGTGTGACTGTCTATATAAGTTTGAAATGCAGACAAATCAAAAGAAACTGATACACTGTGCGATATTGACAGGTTGTTTAATGGAAAACAAAATGCATAATATCTTCTTAAAAACTTCCGATAACTGTTTATGACAAACAATTGTATTAAATGTAAAGTGTTTAGAAAAATATTACTCCTATCAAAGCTATTTCTTTTCAGCATTTTTGTTAGGGACAATTTCTATACTCCGATATTTTTTTTTATGTGTGCTTTAGTTTTCTTCAAAAACTTCCTATCTTTTCTTTGAAAATTTTTCAACTGGCTCTGTTCATTCATTATTTTAGTCTGTAATTGTTTAAATAAACACTGCAGTTTTGACACAGTTGGTTCATTAAGAAAAATGACTAAAGAAAAATAATTATATACCACAAATTTCTATTGGTGATCTGACTATATATAGGGCAAGAAAAACAAAAATCTAGTGTTTTTGTCATTATTTATAACCAGCTTAAAATATATACCAGTCTATATGCCAGGTAGAGTTGGTACCACAAAAAGTTGTTCTTTGGTATTCTGTGGTATGTTTTAACATATCATTACATGCACTATAGTATAACACAATTATATTTGCAACCAACAATTTAGTTTTCTGGAGCCTGTGATTTTTCTTTTCTAACATTTCCACCTGTCACATAGCTAGAAAAATATCTTACTCTGATACAAAACAAATTAACAGCATAGTATGTCCATTATAATATTTTAAAAATTTTCTTGAGATAAACGAAAAAAAATATATCTGTTCAAGAAAAAGCACAACCAAACCCCCACCATTAAATAATTGGTCAGCACCTTATAGAATAGGCATTTACAATATGTATGTTAATTGCAATATAAACTAAAAATAAAAACTGTACAGAAAGCTTTAATCAGAGCTGACACAATGTAAAAGATACTCTAATTACTTATGTAATCTTGTAGACAAAAACAGGAAGTGTTGACACTGAATCCTACAAGTTACTAGCTACACTGCTAATATCCTTAGCAAGGAAACTTTGGGATGCTACAGCTGTTGCAAAATGTTAATCAGAGAGCCTGTAAATGTTAAACACATTGAACTAACAAACAGAAATTATATTTAGTGGACTTTAGAAAAAATCAGGCAGAAAACATGATCTCCCAAAAAATCTTATATGAATCTTCTCCTTACAGAGAATGTGTCGAGTGAGTGATTTAGATTTTTAACTATAAAAATTTTCACTCATGTCACTATGATGTTTGCAGAGTGACAGTTTATATATAGTGATGTCTAGCTCTGGGGCATTATGCCGCAGACATGTGGCATGATGTCCAACCCAGTCACATTAAAATTCTGACACCAGGCCGACCAGTCCAAACACTAACCTCTTAAACTTGAGTGCCAAGTGAGGCAGCTGTTAGTCCCATTTCTTACAGTCATTGATATGAAAATGAACCCACAACCTCCTGCATCTGAGATGGACTTTCTAACCAGTAGGCCATCAGAGTGGTTCTCCTTACAGAGAAACACGCAATTAAAATACACTAGTAAAAATTAAATCAATATACAGCTTTCACCCATTAAAATGCAGTAGTTGGGGTCCATAGCTGCTGACTGCATTATGTCTTCTCTATAATCAGTGAGCTGTTTTTACAAAGTCCATAATTTGCTGGTTTGATTTTAGTGCTTAATGCTGATTGCTGTGTATATTAGCCAAATACTGATAAGAACCAATACAATTGTGGCTTATTAGGGCTTATTGGGGACATGGTAATTTTGGTTGTTTGGTAATTTTGGTTGTTAGCAATACAGTATCTTACTTTGCCTGAATGCAACAGTGGCTAATGAAGACTTATATCATGACTAAAAAAACAGTTCTGGTAATGTCCAAATCAAGTACAGTAGGTTTTGATTGAAGTTTGGAGTTGATAGATGTCAAATATTTTTAAAAATAAATTTGTAAATATAATTTTGATTTTGGGGTCCATAGCGCTACATCCAGAATCATGTTACTGTCAAGTACATTATAATTGTGGTGGGGAGAGATGTGCATTTTCTTTTAATCCTAAATATCTTCAGTGGTTGGAATTTGTTATATCTTTCACAAAATCACATTTGGATGCCATGTTGACATATTTGACACTTGTATATCTAATTAAAGGTTTATAGGGGGACCAAGTGACTTAGTGGTCTAAAGCATTCACTGTTACGGATCACTGCCATCTTACTTCTGTTGGAGTGGGTAAGACTATCTGGGTATGTTAGAAAGCATTCCGGTAGATTTTCAAGGATAGTGGTTCTTTCCAAGTTTTCCCTCCACCATTACCACTGTCTCCATGTATAGCCAATCTTGTGCTGAAAAATGGCGTTTAACCCCACAACAAAGTTTTATAAATATAATTTTATTCAAAACAAACATGACAGACACACCTTTTTAGTTTTAAAACAAATTGTTTTTAAAAGAATTTTTAGATTCATTTTATAATAAAAAATGATGGAAAGATTTAAATATCTTTATATTTATAAGACTACTCCACAATTTTATGGTAATGGAAATTAGTTATGAACTACAGTAAAATAGTACAGGGGTAGGAACCACCAGAAATATTTACCCCGGTAGACTGGTATAACATGCACCTTCAAGGACCACCAACCCGGTAGACCTAATGGCAAGCTTTAGAACATAACCATGTTGTACAAGCTGAGACCTGAACTGATGCAGACAGAGGTGCAGTAATGCTAGCTGTTCACTCTTTGCTTTAAAGACTTAGGTTAATTTCATTATATAGATTACTTGGGCTGAATTTTACAATGAAGTCATTGTGGGATTTATTTTAATCAGTGCAGATTATTTTAATGGCCAGCTTCACACAACTGGAATCTCACTAAATTACAACTCACACAAATATCTTAAAACTGGCATTGTTGCTATGTTTCATATGAACTCTCATGAAGAAATGTTAACATTTTCTCTTTTCACTGCAGGATTAATTAATTGTAAGAAAATTTTGACATGTGTATAGTACACATATTGAAACATCACATTTTAAAATGGAAAATGAATGGCAGGGTCCTACAATATAAACTATTATATAACTGCAGTACTTGTACATGTAATTAGTTTTATGATCATAAAACAGAAACATGTTTATTATTTATTACCAAAGCAACTGAGCATTATCTAAGGACACACAATGGGTTGTGTATGTAGAGTGGGAAGTGTACACAAGATCTAAAATGTAAGAGTACATACTTTTCAAATAACCTCCAGGGGTCAAGCTAGACTTAAATTTTAGGGAGAAGTGACTTCTCCTTTTGGTCAGAACAGAACAATAAACATGACATATATATACATATATACAGATGCATTATTATATTTGAATTATGTGCTCTATTTCTCTATTTCTTAGTATGCTTTTAAGTTTTAAGCAATGCCTTATTTTCAAGTTGAAATATATTTGTTATTTGTGAGTATCAATATATTTTGTATGCATATAAAAAAATATATTCATATCCATTCTATTCATACTTAGTATATGTGTTTTTGAATTAAAGCAAATGCAGTTTATTTTGGCTGTATGGCTAAAAAATCACATATGAAGCATTGCAATTAATTTTCACTGATAGAAGTAACAAGATTAGAGCATTGTAAATGCAAGTTGATAAAAATGCTTAATAAACTACCACTTAATTATTTTATTTTTCTTAAGTTTCGTGTGCATTTGCAGTCGAAAAGATTTCTAGCATTCTTTGAAACAGTCCCTAATACATGTACATATGAATAAATGCACCAGTGACTTCAAACAACACTCTTCATTCTGATTTCATTGTTCCCGATAAAACATTAAGGTAACTATTCATAAACAACACACTGAAGCACTAAAGTCGATATATAACTAAACTGGACCCTATTTTCTTTTTTTACCCCCAACCAAAAATCCAAGAATATGTCTTGCACAAAATGAGTACAACTATTTTTAGACCGGGGGAGGGGGTTCTCGAACTACACAATTTCTTGCTTCGTTACAAAAACCCATTAAAAGTTCTGCATATTTATGGTTTGTCTACCTACTGGTAATAATGACTTGGACTGGTTAAATTATTATTTGCTTCATTACTATGTATATTTTTCGTAATTTCACAGTTTAATGAAGTGGTATATCAAATACGCAGCAATCCACCATTAAAATTTAATTTACGGTTTCAAACCGATTTTATACAGAAAATATGCAAATTCGGCGGTGAAAATCTCCATTTATTAAAAATAGGATATAAATTAGAAAACACTCTTCACCAATCATATTTTTTAAAGCAAATTACTATTTGCATATTGATGTTTAAATTTTGAAACAGAATTTGGCATCTTTTCATCATAGCAGAGTAGAGCCAACTTTATGAAATCAAGCAGGGATATCTTTCTCCAGAAAAGGGTTAATGGTGAGTTAGCTATTAAAACTTGCATGTGAATGTGCAAGCATTTCTTTGTCGCCATAAACTGATGGTCCTAACAATTCCCAGCCAGGTAGATGACAACTTTATTCCCTATGGATTTTTATGAGTTCCAGTGTTCCAGACTTGATTTTTAACATTGTGTATAATCAGTGAGATAGCAATAGTACTCTGTT